AAAAAAAAAAAGAAAAGAAAAAGAAATAGCTTGTAGATTATAAAGGAAGGAATAAAGCAATCTCCATTTGTAGATGACAAAATTGTCTATGTAGAAAATTCCAAGAATATACAAAGGAAAAAATGTTTTTTAACTCTTAAAGTATGTTCAATAAGGTCCCAAGACCCAAAATCACTATGCAAAAGTCAATGCATTTTGATAAACTTGACATTGAATATGCAGAATGAAATTAAAAACATGGGTGGTGCCTGTGGCTCAAGGAGTAGGCCCCATATATCAGGAGTAGTGGGTTCAAGCCCAGCCCTGGCCAAAATTGAAAAAAAAAAAAAGGAAGAAAAATTAAAAACATGATACCATTAGTAATCACTCCAAAGATAATAAAATACTTAAATATTCAGTTTTTGAAATATGGACAAGTTCTGTGTGCCTAAAAGTACAAAATGCTGATAAGGAAATCAAAGATCTAATAAATTCAGAGAGACGTTCATGGTATGGAAGACTCAATGTCCAAAAAATGTTAGTTATCATAAATTGATCTATAGGTTTATGATATAATTCCTATTAAAACCCAAGCAAGGTTTATGTTGACATAGACAAGCTTATTCTATTAATAAAATGTATATGAAAAGCCACAGGGCCTAGAATAGCCAAAGCAATCTTGACAGAGAAGAATAAAGTGGGAAGAATCACTTCACCTGATATGAAGACTTAATATATACTAATCAAGAGGGAGTGGCATTGGCAGAGAGACAGAGACTTCACCAGTGGAACAGGAGAGAGAAGCCAGAAATAGACCCTCACAAATGTCCCCACTGGCTTTTACAGAGGTCTAATGTATCAGGCAGAAAGTAATTCTCTCCATATTCACATCAGACCCATCACTGTAAAGCCAACTTGAAAAGCTCACCTCTATTTGTCTTTTCTGCATTTTGTTAGCTTGTGTTAGTTCTTGGGAGAACTTTAAGATGCTTTTAATATTTGCATGGTGGTTGTTTCTAACTCCCCAGCAGCAGTGTGATCCTGTGTTTGTGACTTATACTATAATTAATTACTGTGGAAATAAATGTTTGTTTCAAGCCAGTGACTTATTGTTGAAACACAAAAAACAAAAAGACAATTTGATGTTATATTCTGAAATATCTGGTAACATTTTCAAAGAATAACAATTTCCTTGAAATCCTTTAAGATTGTACAGATGGAGTTCAGCGAGCTGACAGAGGGAGTGCTGTGTCCTTTCTAGGGAGCGAGTGTTCTCTTCAGTCTCTGCTGTTCTTTCATATAAAACTTCTAGCATATGATAATATTTTTAAAACTTATAAGACCTAAGAAGAAGAAAATGTGGCCCCTCCAAGTGTCACTTTAATACTTCCATTGCTGTCTGTGTAACATATTAATATATGAGCACTTACAAAATATGCCGTGTGTGCTCAAGTAGAAAGTCTATGCTCTTGTCATCGGAGTGTTTTCCTGACATATATCCATAATGTCTATTTATTCCATTGCTTGGCTCTTGTCACAGTTTGGTTCTCTGTGAAGCATGTTCTGGCAGATTTTAATGCTGCCCCCTCTGACAGTTTTCCAACTCTGTACAACAAACTAGAAGGGGTTCCCTGTGTGGTCTGGTTGAAGGGCCATGCTTTGCCCCAGAGCACCCCACCACAATTGTCATCAGATGCATTTGAGCTCAGACAATGCCTGCTTTACTTGTAGGTGGTCCTAGAGGGTCACAGAGGGAGCTGTTCTTAATACATTCATTAGCAATATTTTTCCTGTGAGTAAGTTTGGAGCACGTTTCCCAAATATAGGTAGGGAAGGAGGTGTTTTGTGACACAGGAGTTGACATGTTTGTTTGGAGCATGGACACATTTGACTGTTTGCTTCCTACCTGAATTCAGCCCTTAACAATACCAAGTTTTAGGTCAGGTGCGGTAGTTTACACTGTAATCCCAGCACTCTAGGAGGCAGAGGCAGGTGGATTGCCTGTGCTCAGGAGTTCAAGACCAGCCTGAGCAAAAGTGAGACCCCATCTCTACTAAAAATAGAAAAACTGAGGCAAGAAGCTCGCTTGAGCCCAGAGTTGGAAGTTGCTGTGAATTATGACACCACGATACTCTACTCAGGGCCACAGTTTGAGACTCTGTTTCAAAACATATATATATAAATAAAAATAAAAACAATACCAAGTTTAGGCTTGGCGCCTATGGCTCAAGCGGCTAAGGCGCCAGCCACATACACCTAAGGTGGCGGGTTCGAATCCCTAGCCCGGGCCCGCCAAACAACAATGATGGCTGCAACCAAAAAATGGCCAGGAGTTGTGGCGGGTGCCT